GTTAAAGGTACTGTCATCATGTCATCATTTGGACTTTTGAAAAAAAAATTTTATGGTCGCGCGCAATGCGATCGGTAGAATCAGTGTTTATTTCGTAATAAAGTATTTTTAATATTTTTTAGAGCACAACTGCTCTTATTCAATTTAATTAAATAATAATCATTCGCGAAATTAGAGTCAGTGTTTGTTCGTCGATTATTATTTACGGACACGTCAATAGTTTATTATTTTTTTTTTTTTTTATAAATTTTCGTTTTCGGTACAGGATAAAATCAGTGCTCTGAAGAACATAAGGCGATCATCCATCACGCGAAGAGGTAATTATCTTTGCATATTTTTCACCAATACAGTTAAATTTTTTCTTAATTTTCCTTCATTAATTAGTATATATACTGTGTTTTAAATTATGGTATTCGTTTTTTTTTTTACAGTTTTCATCCTTCTACATGGGTCATGGGTCATGATAGCATTGATGGCAATGCAGATTCTTCGCATCTAATGGTGAGTCGCATGCTTTTTGGTTCCTCTGGTCATTCAATCATGTCGTAGGATGAAAGATCCGAATCGACACGGGTGACTGGTTGTATACGTAGATTTTTTGCACGAGCACAATGACCGCGGGTATTTATTATACCTGTGAGTAGTAAACATTTCATTTGTGTTTTATTTATTAGATCAGGATAGGTTTTCTTGCACATGGCGTTTTTAACAAAACGATATTAATAATTAACGTTATATGAATAAGTTTTAACGTAATATTAGAAATTATACAATAATAATGATGATGCATATGCTATAATTATAATGATTATATTATAATAATAGTTATTATCATATTATCATGTGATAATAAATAATATTTAATTTCTCTATCTATTTCATCAGAATGCATCGAAAGAATTAGTTATTTGACATTTTATTTTGAATTTAAATTTGAAATGTAAAAATATTTAGTTTTTCATGTTTCTTCCGTACAAAAAATGTAATAAAATATAGTGCAAGAAAACATTTCGCGACAGGTAGATTTTTGAATCAAAGCCACAAGTTTTGAACATTGC